AGTTCTATGTAATATGAAGGTGCCCACGATTTGGCTCCTAAAATGCACATCACCTTTTTTTCTCCTCTCAGGTGTGTGTTAGGCATATCGCTTTGAACCGGGGTAAGGATCAGTGTGCTTTTTGGTGAATGAATCTAAACTAGGTGGAAGAATCTATGGGGAACTTTTTAGTTGAAAACTCTCGCTGAGTATATCAGTATATATTCTTGAGGTCAGGCCTCAATAGTGGTATTGGATGTTTGACTTTATTTTTTGTGGCATTAAGTCATTTTTCGATGAAACGTATTTTGGTGAGGAAACAAAGAAGGGTGATGGAAAACTCTCATGCTGATGGCAGGAAATGGGTGTAGATAGTTCTGGTTATCTAAGGTTTTCGCCTAAATCGATGGACCTTACGATAGCAAGGGGAATGCCACTGTCCGACAGATCCCCTTAAAGTCAGTCTAAAAAAAAAGCCTTTTGTTTTTTTCCATGGAGTACCAGAATACATTTCAACAAAAGTGGTTAAATTTATACAATTTCGCTACTTTAGCGATCCTAATAAGCCACTGAACCTGGTTTCGTCATAAATAGGAGTCGAGTTCGGTGGAGGCAAAAGACAATAATGGAGTTGTTTCCATTATTTTGATTTTTGGATTGTGAGCTACTCGAAGGGGACTCAAGACCATAAACTGTATACTTTGTCAATATTAAAACCCTTTGTATCTCTACACGAAAGCGTTAAGTAGAAGAGATCCCAATTATCTGTAACTTTTTGCAACATTTACAGGCGATAGCTATATTGGATGGCCTTCAACTGAGATTTAGGCAAGTATATAGTATATAGGGTTAGATGGACTAAGCTGGGAATAATTCATATTTGACAAGAATCGACTCAAATGATTCGATGAAAATATCGCGACGGCAAAAACATCATTTTTAGATATAGTTCGGACAATTCTGCGACACATAAATATTTCATTGTTCCCAGTATGCTTCATATCAAGAATCGAGACACCATATTTGATACCGCCAAACTTTTTTCAAAGTCACTATATGAACTTAAGCCAAATATTGGACGTGCAAAAATTGAAAAACGGGCACATTGCGCCAATAGAGCCTTAGGTGATCAGTTGTGCGACATCATCCACCAAAAGTGATGCAATCAAATCTTGAGAGGTTTTGGATTGCTATGTTAGAAATGGGAGGTTGAATCCATCGACTTGACCTAAATTGCGGGTTTTCCCGTGTATACCCAACTATACTCTCGTGATGAGTTGTGTCGGTTTTATGGGGAGATTTTTTTTTTCCAAGCTTGGGTTATCGTGGCTTAGTAAAAGGCAGCCGGAAAATCGCTTCGCGGTTACAATACGCCAATTATATATATATAATATTATTTTCTTGCCAAGAATTAAGCTCTGTTCTAAAACGGTACTGTGTGCTGACTCGAAAAAATTCCTTTTTTGAAACAGTTTGCGCTACTCGTTTTTAAATTTTCATTTGCCATTTAAGCCACTTTTTAGCGAAATCCCATCAAAGCAAAAACAAACATTTGTGCACTTCCCAGCCCGACCGATATTTAATCGCAGGAGGGGAGGAGTCACCGTTAATACTTTGTACAAATAATCATCTACATGCATAAAATTATAAAAACATCAATAAGCACACGCAACTCTGAACACATCTAATTCCACATTTAATTATATTCACCACAAAGAAGGCGAAGCAGAGCGTGCCATGATATAAAGTGAACACCGTTTGATGTTTACAAATAAATTTATTTATATTAGCGAGCGATTCTATTTTCATGCTCTTGCCCATGCCACTTCCTGACTGTGCATTAATGTCATGCTTGTGGTGAATATTTCATGTAAAACGAACATTAGTAATCGGTTTAACCTTCACAGGATCTGATTAGGACCAGACGGGAGCTTCAAGGGATTTATTTGTTTACATGCATTTTTTATTTATGTGAAATTTTTGATAAGCTATAATTTTGTTTGTTTATTTTCTACATACTCATTTGCATATACTCCTTTGAGGGTAAGTGGGTGTATGTGTCTGTGTGTGTGTTCGTGTGCCATTTGACCTTAAATATGATAATTTGTGTCACATGTCTAAATGAATGCATATGTAGACTTGATTTTGTTGTCATATTTCGAAATGAATGTACTAGTCTGCAGATTTGATATGTTTTGCGCGATTAAGGCAAAAATTATGGCCATATGTGAGATGTGGGTATGTAGATAAAAAGAGTTAGGCCGAACTCGAAACAATACGCGTAAATCGCCTTTAAGAAATTTTAATGCAAGAGAAATAGAAATAGAAACGAAAAAGAAAGAGAAAGAGAGAGAGAGACAGGGACAGCGAGAGAAAGAGACAGAGAAATGGAAAGGAGTAAATACTGACAAAAACAAGCCCGATAATTTGAATCTGAGTGTGCTCTGCGCGATCCACAAAGAGAGAGACGTATCAGATACCGTTAGGCTGAACTAAGGCCCACCATCAACAAACTGATTGGACCTCGTCAGTGTGACATGTGTGAGACAGCGGCTACGCTAGGACCATTCGGTGTAGCGCCCTTTGATGGAAAAGAGTAGGAGGAGACTTCAACAGTGGGGCAAAGATGCGTTACTTTCAATTTGTATGTAATTGCGTAAGCAGTACCTACGCCAAATAAGCAGCAGAAGAAAAATATTGGAAAAATTAATAGCAACGTTAGAATCATGTTTCGGGAAAAAGAAGGAAGAAAATCCTATTCAGTCCCTGGCATTTTTCTGATATCAGCCAGTGCATTTACAAACAATTCAAAAGAAGCAAATCCTTCTGGGTTTCGCTTCTCTTAACAACAGCGAAATCCTCGGAGTTCTTGTTAGAAGATGTTGGCACTCAAGCGAAATTGTTATTGTGTAGAGATTCACATAATATAGCGGTAAATTCGTGAACATCTATTACTCGGTGCCGCCATTTTTAAACAAAATGTCAGAAAAGTAGACCCTACAACGTAATTATATTTATCTAGAAGACTTCCGGCTTGTGGAAAGGAAATCCATCAGCGATCAAATGATGCTCCTTTTAAAGAACTATGTCGAATTCATGTTTTGCGACAAACTTCCAATTACATAAAAGACTCTCGTAAGAAGGGCACATATTTAGAGGTTCCAAATGTCTTCGGCATTTTGAATGAAACGAGAGTTTCAGCTGATTTTTTGAGGGAAGTAAAGGGACTTTTAAGAGTAACACGAATCGAACGAATATTCCTTCAGCCCCTTCTTTCAATGTAGAGACAATGTGATAATGATTGGAGATCAAAACTGAACACACTTTTTTTTACTTTTTTGATTCCAAATAAAAAATAAAAAAAATGACCAAAGCAAATGCGTAGTAAATAAAAAATTAAAATAAAAACAAATCATTAGCATATATTCTCCGGAGCATAGCTCAAGAAACGAGAACATTAACAAATAACGGCAAACAGCGCACGCAAAATTCGAAAAGTCAAAATGTTGTTGGCATTTGTTTAGATTGTAGCCCGCGGGACACCAGTATTTGTAAAGCAAAAAAAAAAATGTTTCTGCCAACACAATGGACTACAAAGCTGGTTGGCTCAAGTATTTGGAGCTATTTTGACGGCCAGAAAGCATTTCAGCGTTGTCTTCTTCTTCATTTAGCTTTTTGGTCTCGCACTGAATTACTAACTGGCGCTTGCCTAGCGGCATTGGCGAGCATAACCTGACCAGCGCACATCAAGGTATGATACGGAATATAACAACAACACGCACAAACACACAAACTCCCTTCTCATTTGAGACCACCAAATGACTCCCTTGATAATTTTCATTGGACACGCAGATATTAAATTCGTTTTGCTTTTGCTTAAGCATTCTTATTTTTTTTTTTTTTTTTTTTTGAGAACTTTATAGTTATTTCGGCATTATGATAAGCGTTCAAGGCTTTGTGTCCTGTATACGTATGTACGGACGGGTATTTATTAAGCTTCGTTTACGGTTTGGCTTTGGTTTCAATTCTATTTTTGGTTGTAAATTATATTTTTCGCAGCTTATATAGGTATGCTTTCGTATTTATTTGTAGATTCTTCATTTCAATATATGTATTTATTTAAGTAAGTAAGCTGTAAAACATTTTCTATATTCTTTTATGTGTTATACACTGCTGAGGGCTATAACTGCTTAGCGTGGAATACAATTTATTTTTACACAAGCAGACTGGTGTTTACGCGGCTGACCGGTGAGCCGAGAGGTTAGCACTAGGTACCACCTTGCAGAAGGTCAAGCGTTTGAAGCCTTAATTTTACAGTTCATTTTTCTAATTGTGGTCGTCTCCCGTCTGGGAATACCAAATCTTCCGTAATGTATGTATGTAATGCTATGTATTTCTGACACCTCATAAAAGCAATGAACATCAACATTTGTTCAAAAAACATCAAGGTCCACCGCGAAACGAAGATGATGCGCATTAAAAATATTTTCCATTTCTGTGGTAGTTTTCGTATACAATCTCAAAAAAAATTAGTCCTCTCTGATCTCGTACCAAAGATCCGAACTGTTGACCACCCAAAGCATTTTGCCTCTGGCGAAAAAGGCAGCAGTCATAAGTAGCAAGAACTGGAGAGTACGGCATGTGTGGTAAGAGCACCCATTTTAGTGTTTCCTAGTGTTATTTGGTATTTACAGCTACGTGGGACCAATCGTTGTAATGTCAATGCTTTCGGCCTCTTCTGGCAGTTTTTCACGCAATACATGCCTCAACCACAATCAACCATTAGCGGTCACAGGCATTCGGTGAGCTTTAGAATCTGTTATATGGGCCTTAGGTAAACCGTGTAGCCTTCAGAATACTGCAATGCTTTCCAGACCAAAGGTAAATTTATTATACAATTTTCTACGTATATATTTTTTGTTGTTTTTTATTTCATTTTTTATTTTAATCTCTTTTTTTTATTTTATGTATTAAATTAAACTTTATAAAATGAAAAATTCATTCTATTAAGTATCACACTATTTCGTTCCCGCAAACTTGATTTATTTACCATAAATATCAATAACAAAATTATATCCACGCCACCATTGACTTGTGAAATGTAACTTGATAAAATTGAAACCCGGACCACCACTTGTCAGTGTGGCATAACCACCATTGCCATTGGTGTATTGATCCTTGACTTCCACGCTCGTTATGATTGCCGGATAGGGTATGTTCTAGAGAGAAGAAATAACAGCATTTCGATCATTATTTGTATCACCCACTTTCATACACACACACCCGCACATACCTTCTGATCGAATGAATAGTCACCGGACTTCTTGCGCATAAAACCAGATTTTTTGAAAACAACTTCGCGTATCAAATGACGATCGCCTGGTAAGCGTGAACCCAATATGAGATTGTGACTGGCCGTGCTATTGGCTGAGACGAGTGCGAATAGTGCTATGAAAGCGTAGACGTATAGAAATTTCATGTCGTTTTTTTCGATTTTGTTTTTAATAAATTTTAGTGCACAATGTTGAGTCTTTGCAATTAAATTTTGAACTGAACGCAATTAATGGAATTTCGCTGAATTTGACTACAGCTAAACTAAATATAATGTAGTAGATAATTGTTGTATATTTATCTAGATAAGCATCAGTAACATCTAGATAGTTCTTCTTATCACATGCGCGTATGCAAAGCAGTTGTTTAAATAAATTTCATACATACATATCATACATTTATATGAGGAAGTATTTTATTTTTCACAGTACTAAATATGTATGCATGTATGTATTCATATATACATATAGGCATGCGTCAACAGCGTCAATGACAACAACGACAGTGGCAATATGTGGATTAAGTAGTTAAATTTACTCTTTCATTTTCATTTTCTTATTTTCCCATAACAACTTTTGTGGTTTAACCGCAAATAATCATGCCATCTCTGCTGATTAAATACCTTTTTTTTATAATATACGCTTTTATAACGGGAAGTACATACATTCTTTTATATGTACGTGTATCTGTTTTTGTGCCCGCCAGTACAGTATACACGCGATATATTAGATTCGTTTAAATAACAGCTGAAGTCAACGACATAGATAAATAAGTATATACGAGGGGATTAACAAAAGTTCGGTCAGTTGTTGGCTTTCAGTATGTTTTTGTTAAATCTAAAAATACAAACTATTTTGAAATTGTTTTATTAGTTTTCCTTTCAAATTGCAGAACAATCGGCAAAATCGGTTGAGGATAGATCAGACGAAATTCCACCAACAACGCAAACAGAAATTCCCCGTGTACTTCTCTTCGGGTTTCGTCGCAATTTACAGCCAATACAAATATTCAGTGAATGACAAATTGCAAATGGAAAGATTTAACCGTCTTTAGCAACGATTTCCAAGTGGTACCAAAGATTCCATAACGTACATTTCTCCGTAAAGGACGAGCCCCGAGAAGGTCGAACAAAACCTTCCGCTTTTGATGTCACTGTAGCTCTGGCGAAGTCCAAAATTGACGAAAGCCAACGATTGATAGAAGCAATGATTGCTAATGAGTTTGGCTGGAATGCCACTACATCGCCAATATAAAGTAATAATCTGGGATCGATGATACCACGAATTTTAAACGCGACCCAAAAAAAGTCTGTAATGGATTTTGCTCAATTTTTCCTAAACAAATTCGAAAATAGTCAGTCTAGTCGTTACTGGTGACGAATCTGGGCACTATAACTACAATATAGAAACGAAACAGCAGTACGGTGCCCAACAGGAATAAACCCACCCGTAAATTCTGAGCAATAAAAATCAGCAGCAAAAGTAATAATGTCAGTTTACTTCGCCCGCTGTAAAATCGTAGCTGCTTCTCTACTGGGAAAGGGTCAGACGCTAACTGCAAAATTATACACCGAAGATTGTTCACCAAAAGTTTTCGAAAATTTGTTGGAAAAGAAGACGAAAAAGGATTTGCAGCGCTCCATCCCACGCTGCTCAAACAACGAGAAATTTGATTGTGATATCTGTGATCGAATAAATACGATCAACATCATATTTCCCAGATATAGCATCTCGTTAATTAAAAAATAAAAATATTTAAAAGGGTTTTTAATAGCAACAAAGAGATAAGCCTAAAAAGCAAGATTTTGAAGACTGTGGATCTAGAGGCATAAGGAATGCATTCAAATTAGGACTAATAGAGATGATAAAAAAAAATTAATTTTTTTTCTGGTCAACTTAACGAACTTCTGTTAATATCCTTGATATATAAAAATGTAATTTTGTTTGTCTGCTAAGATAAAAATTTAAAAAATGTGAACTAAAACTGTTTTGTGTAAAGATTTAATAACTAATTATTTATTATACTTCATTCCTCTTCACTGCTCGCTTATCGCGACCTTCTAATAACCAAACTTTTTATCGACTGCTTTCCGCCGGACATGTAATTTTCGGTTTGACATAATTTAAGCCCTTCCTTACGTGTTTATTATAGATTAAAAATGACTCATTTCTGGATAAATAATTTTTCTTAAATGATATCACTTTTATATTTATTTGGCAATTTCTTACAAAATTTTAGTGTTTTTACTTATTTACATCCATAAAGACGTCAAACTTATCTCTCTATTTATGCCAGCAAATAATAAAATGGCCTTCTGCATGTGCATTTAACTGAATAATTTTTTAAACTTAGAGTTAACATTAATGAATAAAGTGAATAATGGAAATAACCTAATCAGGAGGCAGTCTAAACCCTACCATCAATCCAACAACAAAACTGAAATTTTATCCTAAACGGAGTGTTGGGTTTGGTTCAAGTGGGCTGGGAAATGAGTCGACTTCACATCAGCTAGAAAGAATTAGTGAAGCTGTATGCTATATTCGCTTAATCTTCAAACGCCTTTCAATTTTATTCCAATTTATTTATTTATTTTTTTATTTTTACTTGTACGTATGTTTATGCTGGAGTGGTTCAGTTCAAGGAACTTATTTTAAAATATTTCAAAAGATAACAGTTCAAAAAAAAACATTAAAACTAATTTTTGGATTAGTCAGAAAGCAAGTTAGAGCTAAGTCAGTCAAGTAAACTGTCGTTTACCTAATCATCTGATAAGAAGGTCTCGTTCTTAACCCATAAAATCGGAGACTAGTCTTTAACAACTTATCTATACATATTATCCTACTAAGCATGACTAAAAAATTCACATTTTCATAAAACAACTTCCAAAATATCCCACTTTAAAATCTCTTCGAGGTATTATGGAACCATTTTATTTCCCTTTTTTTCAATTTTTCCTACCAATTTATCGGATCAATTCATAAGTTAATTATTTAAAACTTTTTTTAAAAATTATTCAGTGGTACTTACCACATTTACTCGTTACCGACACAAATCTGAAGATATACAAAATGAAAATTGGTTACAGTTATTTGCAAGAGTAAATTCTAAAATTTTTCAAAATCCAAAACAAAAGATAACTAATAAAAGAGGGATAGAGAAATGCGACTTTATTTTTGGAGCACGAAAAGCCTAAAGCTAAACAAGATTTACATGAACACAAATCCCAAAAACAAAAGAAAAACAATTTCAAAATCTCAATAAAGTAATCGAAGTTTTTATTAGCGAACAAACCGCTCAACTTTAAATAGAATTTATTTTACCAATAACAGAAATACTCGTACATACATAAATATATATACACTCACCGTACTCATAACATTCATATTTGCAATGGGAATTTATTTTCATTGTGGCAACTAAGTAAAACCATAAGGAAAATACATACCAGAGAGCATAAAAGACTAGCTGCAAACAAACATAGAAACTTAAGTACGAGTACATATGAGGGGATTAACAAAAGTTTGGTCAGCTGGTGAGTTTCAATTTGTTTATGTTAAATATAAAAATTCCAAGTCCTTTTCAATTACTTTATAAGTCTTCATTTCAGATTTAAGAACGATAAGGTAAAATGGAGACGAGAAAACGTCAGTTAGCTGAGGCTGGGTCAGCCAAAATTCCACCAGCAACGCAAACATTTATTCGTCATGTGATTCTTTTCGAGTTTCGGCATAATTTACAGCCAACACAAATATTCAGTGAATGAAAAATTCCGAAGATCCCAGACCAGGCATTTTCCGTATAAAATTAGCCCAGAAAAGCTACACCAATATCTTCTGCTGACGACGTCTCTATAGCTTGACAAAAGAAGTAATTGCTAATGAATTTGGAATGAATACCATGGTTGTATCGCGAATATTAAGTAATAATCTGAGATACATGGGGAAATCTCCTCGATAGATACCACGAATTTTAAATGAGGCTCAATTAAAATATAAGCAACCAAAATCAGCAGCAAAAGTAATGATGTCAGTTTACTTCACTCGGCGGAGATAACTAATGCGGATAATGCTGAACTTGATAAGCTTAAGAAGCAAGATTTTGAAGACTGTTTTCAAAAGTCTATAAAACCACTTTTGAAAACAGAAAGAAATAAATGCTTAAGAAATGCCTTAAAATCTATAACGATTATTTAGAGAAGATAATAAGGGACAAAAATTACGAATAAATACAATAAGATATTTTTTTTTCTGGTCAACTCACCGAACTTCTGTTAATCCTCTCGTATGTGTAAGGAAACAGCGCACAGTATTCGCATGAGAAAAAAATCGCTTAAGCGCCGCAGGACAATACATATGTACAACACAATGTCCTAGCACATCCTAAACACAATATGTACCTCTGTATATTGTTACATAAAAAGAAAATGTAAATCTAAATATAAGACTTTTTCCAACCAACTTGTACACTTTGCTTTGCATATTCATAACAAATTTGCTCAATATGCTGCAGAGTTATGTTACATATGTGTGTATGCATGAACAAAACAAGAGCTATGACAAATATGAATGGGGAAGTAAATAGGTACGAGTATGTGTACTCCACTGTATCAATGTATCAATTTTCGTATAGCCTCAGGCATACTCGTATATCCCACATTAATATATTATTTTTCTCAATTTCATTGTAAATGCGTTTTTTTTTTTTGTATTTACTCCAATTAAGTATGTTTGCACTTAAATCGACTGAATATGTACCTATATAGATAAAGTTCATGAAGAATGTGCCTATTTCAGTAGCTAGGAAAGCCTTTGGTGGACAATTTTTTACATGTGTAGGTCATGAAAAATTTTAATTTTTAAATTATTATGATGGAAGTAAAAAGAGGTTATCTGGTATAAAGTCGAAACTGTACGATGAATGACTCAACAAGTCGATATTTTTAGCGTTCAAAAACGCATTTGTTTCAGTTGTGTGTGGGAGCTATCATTGCCGTCGCGAAGAGTACTCCAGCATTTGGACTTTTTAATGAGTCCTCATACCGAGGGCGGTCTTTGTGTGAAATACTGTGCAAAAAAGTGGTCAAAATGTTTAATTCCTGTTAACGGTGTCGCGAGTTATTTTGTACGATTAGAGGCAAACTCACTTCACAAATTCATAAATTAATACAAAAACTGTCTGGAAAGTGTATTTATTCGACCGAGTTTTGAGCGTAGTACTCTTGCAAATGCGAACGAAGACTCACTGTAAGTTTTCAAAATTTCCAAATTTGCTTAAAGCCCAAACAGCTTGCACAGAATATTTGATAAATCGGAAATTATCCTGAAGATTTCAAAATTTAAATGTGACGTAGACGGTAGACTACAATCATGGTGAGATGGTTTGGAAAAAGAGCTATTTGATACCTTGAAATTACACTAAATTAAATTATGTTGAATAAAATAGATTATTAGCAAACTTAATTGTGAGAAAAGCCAAGGCTGGAGATAAGTTAATTACAACTTAAAGAGAACTGGAAATACACTTTATTAGCAATGAGCTCTTTTTTGTGAATTATTTCAATGTTTTATATATTTTCCAAATTAAATTTAATTATTTTTAAATTATTTATGGAATCTATGTACAATAAAACTATCAGTTTTATTAGAAAAAAAATTATATATCTCATCATCATACGCTCTCCTCACTATTGCCATTCCGATTTTAATTAAACTTAAGCATAATAAGCTAGGAAGACTATAGCAATTACCAACTGCGCTTTTATTCACACCGTACTCGCCACTTGCCACTTCCAAGTATAATTCGTCCATGCGCTTGTTTATTTATTTTCCAACGCCTCGTGCCAAAAGATATTGCCTTAAGCCGTAATTGTTTTCTCCAAATGCCTTTTCAAACAGCTCGTAATCTACTTAGAACACCTCCCTACCTACTGCTGCCGCGCGACTGTCAGTATGTCTTAGAAATTTCATTGTCAGTGCCAAGAGTCAGTGAATGCGTTGTAGGCTGGGGAGGGGCTAAGTTGTGCTAAACAGTGCTGCTGGGTAAATATGTATGTATGTGAATGTGAAATTTTAAAGGGAATATTTGACGTTGAAAATTATTGCATTTTTACGTATTTAATTTATTATTAAAATATTATTATTATTAAAATATTAAAATATAATAATAGAATAATAGAAATGTGAAAAAATTCGGAGACTATTTTAGAGACAGGTTGAGTTTAAAGAAATAAGAAAAAAATATAATGCTCCTCTTAATTCGAACCTGCAAATGAAGGAATCGCCCAGAAACGCCCAGCCTTCACCAAGGAATTTGTTTTTCTTCAGGACTACGCCAGACTAAACACATCAATGATTGTTTACCAGAAGCTTCGAGAGATTGGTTTGGACAAGCGAGACGCAGTTGAAGAGCTACAGGCCTGCCAAAACACAGTCCTTAGAACCGCGACAGGAAAACTTCTGATGTCGCCAGCAATCCCTATTGGGATGCTACCGCAGGAAGCACCCAACATATATCAAGTAGATACTGAACCTCCACCCAAGCATATCAGAAAGGGAGTATTCGATTTAAAAAACCGAATCCAGTAACATTCGCAACAAGCGCTGGATAAGACGGCCTACAGAGAGGCAATATATGCCGTTAACCAAGAGTCACTCAACACTCTCAAAACTTCCTTCTCGGCATGTTAAATTTCTAACTATTCATACTCGATCATTACATAACCAACGTATGTTCAGCACTTAACGAATTCCCGCACGACACTAAGCACCTCTGTTTATGCCCTTAAAACCGACACATCTGACCTCCCTCTCCCTGTTAAATCAAGTGATACAATATTTTTCAAACAGAGACAAGAATTTCTACAAGAGAGGCCCTTACAATTGCAAGGCTATATGGAATTCTGAATTTTGCTTTCTCATCGCACACTCGGAAAACTTGAGCAAACTCTTTTGAAGTCTTGAGTAAAGCTCAAAAGAGAATGAGCTTTAGTGGAGCTAGCTCGATATATCCAGCTGATGACGCCGATCTTATTGTAATATACGGTCATCATTTCTCTTGTCTTCTATACGTACGTAAGCTCCGACTATCTGGCATAGACTCGTACCATTATCTTTATGAGGAAAGACAGCCACCCACCTCTATGCAAGAAAGAACGTTCGTCAACATACAAAAAAGTATCGACGACAAAAAGCTGACGAATGGTTTTCGACTCAATTTGCACTTCTGCTTTCTGAGAGCACTCATGAGTAACTGAAGGAACTGTGGGAACATACCTTAAACACCTTCAGTGTAGCTAAAAACGAAACTATGGACTTCCGTTTCAAAAGAGGAGCTGGTACAATGAAGTGAAGAGAGACAAGAGATTAAAATACGTGAATATAAGAAACTAGAGCAGCTCGAAAACATGAAAAAGATTTCAAGACTCAAATAGAGATCTGATATCAAAAAATCGATAAGGGGATTGGGCGAACTTCTGGTGTTTGATTTTTACCGAACACTCAGCATGCTGGAGAAGTTTTATGAATTCCTAAATTACCGATCTCCGGAACACAACTACTAGTGGGCAGCTCATACATTACTGCTGTAAAACAGTTTCCTCGCTAAGTGTTTGTGCACGCGTGTGTGTGTTTATGGCATGCCATTAGCACTTTAATAGAAATTTCACTGAAAGCTACTGCCAACTATAAAATGCCAATTACGAGTAATTTAAAAAAATATAAAAAGTGTTGGAATTACAGCAAAAGTGACTATGCACCAGTTAAGCTGACCTTGTGTGGCCTAATAAAAGTAACACCGTTAGAGCGCAAGTACGCGCAATGTGTACAGCTAGCACGCACCAGCAAGCAGACCTCAGCCGTTGGCATATTAAATGCAAGCTAAAAGTGCTGCAATGTAGTGGGCGTGGTGTATGTTTTATGTATATGTTTGTGGAAGTGTATTTCTGTGTGTGTATGTATATAGAAAATAGGGAAATCTAAAATGCGGCCGTCGAGGTCTAAGCATGAAGTGAGCAAAAGTAAAGCGCAAGAAGTGAAAGTGAAGTGGCCGAGTTGAG